ACGCCAGAAGAACTAGATAAATGTATAACAGAAGTTAAATCAACGATTAAAAATCGATTAAAACGATTCTTAGACGATGTAAAAGCGTTTATTAATAAGAATGCTTTCTATGAAGCTGAAGAAAAATTAGAATCAATAATTTTAGAGCGCAATTTCTTAGGTATTTATTGTACACAAGAGATTTCCGATGAGATCGATCAAATGAGAGCATCTCTGAATCAATTTGTATTAGATGAGATAATTGTAAAATATTCGAACATGGATATTTGCGCATATACTAGAAATCCGCCGAGAGAAATTTTTGAAAGATTCAAAGAAGCTAGCAATACAAATTCGATATATGATCAAGCTAAAGATAAACTAAGGGACAACATATACGATAAATTTATAGAAGAATTAGAACAAGCGAAATCAGTATTGCCTCCAAAATCGGACAATAATCATATGAAAAAAATAGAGTCTGCTCTTAGGTGTTTACCAGAAGACATGAAAAATTATCTTCAACAAAAACTGGAACTCTATAAGGAAAAGATTAATCGAATAGCTAAAGAAATCGAAAATGATTTCCAAAATGCGATGAACAGTGGAGATACAAAGATTATTAAAAATTGTTTTCAAAAATACCTAGATTCACAAGGGATGCAATCTTTTATTATAATGGGTCAAGATCTTATTGTAGATCAAATGCAAGATAAAGTGAATCAAATCGATCAATATTTCCAACAAGACAATGTTAATGAAGCATTAGCTTGTGTAAAAATAATCTGTGAATATAAAATAGAGTTAGAAACTATTGTCACCAATATTAAAAACCCATATTCAACAGTATTATGTCAAATAAGAAGGAAATTTAATGCGGTATATTGTTGTTTTATGGATCAGTTTTTACAACATAATACAACGGAGATTACTCACGAGATTATTAGTAATATAGAAAAAAGTTTCATTTGTTTGCTTGAATTTATCAAGTTCAGGAATGAGTCAAAAGATCAACCTATGTTAAATGGCATGCTCCCAGAAATTTTCGATGAGAAACTAGTCAGATGGATCAGAGAAAGTACAGATTATTTTACGAAACTTCAGAAAGACTACGAAGATGGTTTAAGAAAGATCGATATTCTGTCTCTTATAAATATTTTAAACATCATGAAGAAACGGAATTCATTACTGAGCAAAATGAAAGACAATATTAAAACCTATAATATCAATGACACTTTAGTAAACAGTATGACAAATGCTTTAAAAAATCTGACAGATTATCTAGATATGTTAAAATCAGTAAATGAAAAAATTCAGCAATTAATAAATGAACTCATGCATCAGCCACTTATTAATGATGAGACGAGAAGACTTTTTCCAGAACCAAATGAATATTATAAAAAACTCAAAGAAAAACTTCTTATTCTACATGAAGTTGGGCGTCTTCATCAACATAAAGAGCATAATCTACATATTGATGTAAATGTAGAATCAATATGCTTGGAGTCGATAAAGACAAAAATTAAGGAAACAATCAGTATGACTAACAATTTATTGAAACACTTAGTCAAGGATAATACGTCAAGACAGCATTATAATGATTTTAATGTGTATTATAATAACCTTTTATCAATTCAACAAGAAATGCAAGAAATGAATCTGGTGGAAATCGATATAATAATTAAAGAAATTGAAGAAGTAATTTTTGATAAAATCCGTGTGTGGGGACAAACAGTTGAAAAAGAATCATTACTTGATAATATTTCGAAGAATTTAATTAATATGAAGCGTACTGCAAAAAATATTCTTTCGTTTGAGGAAAAAATAAACCAGATAATAGATAAGGTACTGGATTATTATCAAAAAAGAAAACAAGTTCCTCCCTTGGAAAAATTAGGCACTGAATTATATGAAGATCGCACTGGTGTAGGACAATATATCATTGCCGAACATAAGGCATTCAACAATTATGTTGTAAGTCGGCAGGGGAAACCTCCAAAGCACACTATTGAACATGTCATAAAGAATTTAAAGGGTGACTCAATTCTACAGAATCAATTGAAAGACCGATATATGGAATTTCAAAGAATCTATCACCTCTTAATAAAAAATCTTTTTAACAAAAATATCGATTTGGAAACTTTAGTTGCAGAGACAAAAAAAACTGCTGGAGATTTTAGAATAATATCAAACAAGAACCAATGGAGTGCAAATGAGAGAAATAAAATTCCCAAGCTACTAGCTCATATTTTTGCTTTGTGGACAATTCAAGACGCAGAAGAACATCCTGAAGCCAGAAATTTACAGAATGATGATCAATATCCATTTGAGCCTAGTACAGCTCAAATAGTTGCAATACTCCGTATGCTCGGAATAGGTGATGAAAGAGAAAAATTAACGAATAATTTAGTACAAATAGAAGCTGGCGAAGGAAAATCTATAATATTAAGAGTCGCAGCTGTAACACTGGCTCTACTTGGTTTTGATGTCTACTGTGCGTGTTGCAGCGAATATCTAAGTCAAAGAGATTATAATAGAGTACTTCAAATTTTCGATACATTAAATGTATGCCAATACATTCGTTACGGTACCATAAATACACTCTGTGAGAAAATAATTAATGAAAATGGCAAAGTTCATCAAATGGTAGAACAGTTTATAAGCAACGATTCTAGGAATGTTTCAGAAAATAGTGAATGTATTGAACGAGCTAAGATATTATTAATTGATGAAGTTGATGTTTTGTTTAGTCAAGATTTTTATGGTAATGTGTATACACCATTAGCCACCTTAAGAGATCCTACAATTACATCCTTGATCGATTTTATTTGGACGCGAAGAAAATCGAAATTATGTCTCAATGAAGTTACGGCTACAGATGAATATAAAGCTTGTTGCAACTGGATTCCTAATTGGAAACCATTGATTCTAGAGGCTGTTAAAGATCTCATTTATGAAGTAGATAACTTTGAATCCCATGATTATATTGTGGAGAATGATAGGATCGAATATAAAGAACAGGATAATATTGTATACAATGTTGTTTATGGTTATAAAACTTTATTTACATATTATTTTGAACATGAAAATGATAAGATATCTAGACCAAGTTTAAACCAAAGAATAGGTCTAATTATCAAATGTGGTAACTTTTCTTATCCTGAAATTCTACTTCAATTTGAATACATAATGGGTGTTACAGGAACGTTAGAAACTCTTAGTGGTCCTGAAAAACAATTTATAACAGATATGTGTAAATTTCAAAAATATACATATATTCCGTCAATATTTGATAAAAATAATCTGAAATTTCAGGCAAGAGACGATGTCAAAATTGAAAATAGCGCTCATTATTTCGAAGCCATTAAAAGAGAAATTGAAAGTCGATTAAAGGGAAGTCCATCGGAACAACGAGCTGTATTAGTTTTCTTTGAATCAAAACAAAAGTTGAAAGAATTTTTCGAATCAAAAGCATTAGAAAATATAAAGAATCCAGTTGCTTGTTTAACGGAAGATACACATTCAGAAGAAAAAGAAAAAATAATAAAATCTGCCACTATACCCGGCCGTATAACTTTACTCACCAGAACTTTTGGTAGAGGAACAGATTTTATATGTTACGATAAGAATATATCTAAAAATGGAGGTCCACATATCATTCAGACATTTCTTACCGAAAATTGCTCAGAAGAAACGCATATCAAATGTAGAACCGCTAGAAAATGTGGTAATGGATCTTATAATATGGTACTATTGGAGGGAGTTTTTGAAAAATTTCTCATTCAAAGCGACGAGATTGATGCATTTAAGATAGATAAAAGATTTTTTGGTATTCGTGCAAATGCATATTTACCTAAGATGTACAGTACAGTTTATGATTTATTTGATGCGAAACGTAGAGACCTTTTCAAGATACAGTTGCTAACTAAGAAAAAATTTGTTCGCAATGCAAAAGAAAAACATGAAGCTGCTCAACATTTTCTATTAAGTCTCACTTCTAAAGATATTAATTCTGTTAGAGAATTCTTATTGAAGAGAAATAAAGGAATAGATAATGTCGATATTCGATCACGAACAATTTGTTTAATGGATGCTACCAATTCCATGTCAAATCTTTTGCTTAATTGTAAAAATACGGTTGAAACTATGTTCGAGCGTATTACTGCAATTCTAAAAGAAAACAATATTAGTGAAGATTCATTTCAAGTTCAATTTGTTGTATATAGAAACTATAATAGTACAGAAGATAAGCTACTGCAATATTCTCCTTGGGAAACAAAAGCAGATAATTTACGAACGTTCATGAAAACTATCAATGTTGAAGGAGGATGGGAGAATGAGGCTATTGAAATTGGTCTATGGCATGCGAATAAAGAAAACGAGAAAAAAAATATAACACAAGTCATTTTGATCGGTGATGCACGTCCAAATACAAAAGATGAAGTAAAACAAAAGAGAAGTAGGCGCAAGGAAGAATATTGGAAGAAAACGAAATTTGCACAGAAAACATATTATGAAGATGAATTAGCGAAGCTGATATCGAAAGCTATTCCAGTAAATGCCTTTTTTGTCGACAAAAGTGCAGAAGCCGTTTTTAAAGAAATTGCTACGAAAGCTGGAGGAAGATGCGAACTGTTAAATATAAATTCTCCTTCAGGCGCAGATATGTTGACAGATTTAGTAACAGAAGTTATTTTAAAAAATGTTGGCAGAGATTCAAAAGGAGATGCTCTTATTGATGTATATAGAAAAAAATTTGGACAATCCTATGCATAGATCAATCCTTTCTTTTATAACAACATATTTTCATGAAACATTTTCGATATGAGTATTTAGTAGAGAAAAATGAATACCTAAACTACAGCCAATGTTTATCTTATTAGAGCTATGAAACATACATATATATTACCCGTAAATAGAATCCTATTCATCATAACCAATACATTCATCTGTTGTTCTGTTTTGTCTTATAATTTCTGTCTTGGCTTGGCATACATTTTCTATTGTCTCTTTTACTTTACTTGAAAATGTCTTCTTTCCTTGATTCGATTGGTCGTCTCTTTTTCTTTCTTTTTTTCATATTTATTCATATTCATTTGTATTTTTTGTTCATTGTCTTTATGATGAAATTCACATGCATGTACTCTCTTACATAAATCATTCTTCCGGTGGGTGTGGGTGTGGGTAGGTGATGTGGGTGTGGGTGGGTGGTGTGAGTGTGGGTGGTGTGGTGTGGTGTGGGTGTGGGTGTGGGTGTGGGTGTGGGTGTGGGTGTGAGTGTGGGTGCGGGTGTGGGTGTGGGTGTTGGTGCGGGTGTGGGTGTGGGNTTAATAAGAAACAATTATTAAAACGATACGATGAATTTCATGATATATATGAGAGAAAAGTCAAAGAAAATCTTAGTCCTAATATGAAACTTGAGAAATTAATTTCGAATATTAAATTAATTGCTGGTAATACTCGACAGAATGCAAACCGTATTGTATGGAATGCAAATTTAACATATAAAGTTCCAAGACTAACAGCAAGTATTTTTTCTCTGTGGACACTTCAGAAAGCAGATCATTATTTTGAAGCTGAAGGCTTGGAAGATCAAAATAACTATCTTTTTCAACCTCATGCAGCTCAAGTAAATCTGTAACATTAGGAGTGACTGCTTCTATACTTGCATTGTTAGGTTTTGATGTTCATTGTGCATGTTATAGTGAATATTTAAGTCAGAGAGATTATTAAACATTTCTTTGATTCCTTAGGAATAGGGAATTCTATACATGATGGTACTTTTAACAAACTTTGTGAAGATATCATTAATGAAAATGGTGATATTCGTCAAGTAGTATAACATTTAATTTCTACAAATACTAATGATGCTATGAAACATAATCGAGAAATTCATCGAGCTAAAATATTATTAATTGATGATGTTGATGTTTTCTTTAGTCGAGAGTTCTATGGTAATGTATATACACCATCAGCTAGTTTACAAGATCCAACTATTACATCTTTAATTAATCTTATTTGGACTCAGAGAAAATCAAAATTGAAATTGAATAGAGTAATAGCTACGAATGAATATAAAGCTTGTTGTGATAGATTTCCAAATTGAGAACCATTAATTCGAGAAGCTGTAAAAGATATGCTTTCGGACGTTAATAATTTTGAATCTCATGATTATGTTGTAAGTCAGGATAAAATTGGATATATTGAACAAGATAACATCGTTTATAATGTTGTTTATGGATATAAAACTTTATTTGCATATCATTGTGAACATGAAAAAGGTAAAATAAGTAAAGAAAGTCTACATGAAAATATAAGTATACGTATTAATTCTTGTAGTTTTTCATATGCTGAAATACCTCTTCAATTTGCATATATTATGGATGTTACAGGTACATTAGAAACTCTAATTGAACCTGAGAAAAACGTCATACGAAATAATTATAAGATCATTAAAAATACATACGTTACGTCTGTATTTGGAAAAAATAATCTTAGATTTATTCAAAAAGATGATATTATGATTGAGAATAGTGTTGATTATTTTAATAGAATAAAGAGAGAAATTGATGATAGATTAGTAGGAAGAAATTCGGAAAAACGTGCTATTTTAGCTGTTTTTTGAATCAAAACAAAAACTAATGGAATTTTATAATTCTGATGCTTTGATATCAATCAAAGAATTAGTTGTTCATCTAACAGAAGACGCATCATTAGAAGAAAAAGAGAAATTAATTAAGCGTGCAACTTCATCTAATCAGATAACATTATTCGCAAGAACTTATGGTCGAGGAACTGATTTTATATGTCATGATCCGATTGTTGCAGCAAATAGTGGTACACATGTTATTCAAACATTTTTTTCAGAAGAATTTTCAGAAGAAAAACAAATAAAAGGTAGAACAGCAAGACAAGATGATCAAGGATCTTATAGTATGATTTTATTTGATCGTGATCTAGAAAAATTTCATATAGAAAAAGTACAGATTGAAGATATTAAAAAAGGCAAAGGATTTCTAACTCGTATTACTGATACTGTTACTGATGCTCTTAGATTTACAAAAACATATGAAATAATATTGATTCGATTAAAAAAAATTTAGTTGAAGAAAATAAAGGAGTCGAAGGTATTTCATATTCAAGAACTATTTGTCTGATGGATGCAACATGTTCAATGTTTCATTTGTTGAATAAATGTAAAAATACAGTAGACATTATGTTTGAATGTGCTTCAGATATTGTGAAAGATAATCAAATTATTTCAGATTCATTTCAAATTCAATTTGCTGTCTATCGAAATAATGATAGTGGAGAAAAAAAACTTCTTCAAAGTTCGTCTTGGGAGACAAAACCACATAATTTACGTGTTTTTATGAATACAATTGAAGTTGAGGGAGGTTTGCTTAATGAAGCTATTGAAATTGGTTTATGGCATGCTAATAGAGAAAATGAAAGAGAAAATATTACACAAGTTATTTTAATAGGTGACGCACCTCCAAATACAAGAAAAGAAATTCTTTCGGACAAAATCACTGGAAGAAAACTAAATTTGCGCAAGCAACATATTATAAAGACGAATTAGCTAAATTGATATCGAATCAGATTTCAGTACCTGCTTTTTATGTAGAAAAGCGAGCGAAAAAAAAAAATTTGAAGAGATTGCAAATCGAACAGGTGGACGATGTAAAATATTAGACATAAACTCTAGTTCAGGTTCAGATATGTTAACAGATTTAGTGACTGAAGAAATTTAAAACAATGTTGGAGGAAAATCCAGAGGAGAGGTTCTTGTTAAAGCATATAGAAACAAATTTGAAAGAAGTTATACTAGAAATGTAGAATCTTCGTTAAAAAGAAAAAATTTATCTACATCTAATATTTTTACTAAAAGTTCACCAAAACTACACTCGCAAATAAACATAGATGTTACTTCTCAATGTTCAAAATAGAAAAATTTACTTTTACGAAAGTATTGTACTACTGAAAATGATTTAAAATAACCCTTTTATAGAACTAAGAAATTCTTTCAATTTCTTGGTAGTTCATATTATCTAAATAGAATTTCATATTCTATGTTACTGTATACTTTCACTGATTTACATGTCTACGTATTATTCTTTCCTTAGATTTTATCTTCAACTGTATTTATCTTTTTTTTCTTTTTATTCATTTTTCTTTCTTGTTTCGCAGTTTTATTTATCTTTACACTTTTAACTTTCTTTTTGCTGGTATGTGATAATCTTTTCGTTTAATCAAATTCTTATACCTTTTAATTTTAATTTTGAATAAACAATTATATTCAAAGAGTTTTAAAATCTTCATTCGTTAATTGTACAAATTTTGATTGAAGGATGGAGTGTGCGTGTGATTGTGCCTGTGTGAGGGTGTGGTTGTATGTGTCGGTGTGGATGCTTCTGAAAAGAAAACCCACACCCATACACCCTACTCTTCTTTTCATTTCTTACAAATATGTGCTGTTGATCGAAGACTTATTGTTTAAGTTATTGATAAATATTGTTAATACAACAAAATATTAGCAGTCATGCTTAATTTTATGATGAAAATCGAGGGTGAAGTTTTTCATTTATATAAAACAAATATTCTTCAATCATCATCACGAGATTTAAGTAAAGATCGGAAAATATAACTTCATTAAGCTTTCTCAAGAGAAATAGTTTGAAAAAAGAATGATCGAAATACACAAGTTGAATAATGATGTATCGAAATTAGAGGTATAATTAAATTAATGCAGAAAAAGATACACATCAATAGAAAGATCATGTCAGCAAAGAAAACACTAACATTTATGCCCACCAAAATACTCTTAATTTCAAGTTTTATATTTAATTTGAACTATCTTAAAAGATTAGTTGTTTTCCCAAAGATTACTTTGTCAATGAATCGAGTTTCTTTGAAAATACTCTTTTCGTAATATAAAGAATATTTTCCAGTCCAAGTTCAAATGTGCACTAACGAAAGTTTATCTAATCATTTATTTTTTTTTTCATTGAAGAAAAATATGAATTGAATTCGAAAACTGTCACTTTTTCTTGTCAACTTATAGAAAAATTGTCTGATGTTAATAATCATGTGAGTCTCATCTATCCAAGAATGAAATAAAATATGAAGTCATTTTTAAAATAATCTTATAATACGTGTTGTCTATAATCAGGTTTTCTTATAAGTTCCTCGTAAAGTTTATCTTTATCAGCTATTTACTCACTATTGAACGACTTCAACTACATTACATTGTATAGAAATAAATGTGGGAGTACAATATTTCTATGAACTGAATTTCTTTGTGCAAATGGTTTTTTTTTCTTGTTGATGATTAATGGTCTTTTTCAAATTTATCTTGAATATTTCACTGTCAACACATGTAGCCCTTCCAAATAGAGTGTGTGGATGAAAAGAATTCAAAAAGATAAACGAGAGTAAAGAAGCCAAAAGAGATCAAAATGCTGTCATAAAGAAAGAATACGAAAAACATTATTCGATAAACAATGCACTTGTCTGGCTTACACAACATTTGATCAAGTCGGAAGAAATCAACAGTGAAATTGACTCGGTATGGCTGATTTTCATTATTTGAATTTGATGAGCATCTTCTTCGAAGAATTTCTAAGACTAGAGAGAGACAGTATTTCAAACTCCATCAACAGAGTTATATATCATACCACAAATAATGAGATTTCGAAGAAAAAAAAAGAGACATAAATTAATTCAAGACTTCATGTCATCGAATGTCCAAAGTAGTACTTATAGTTATATACATAGAATCAAATTAGTTCACGTCACTAGTTCTTTCGAAAAACAATCTATTACTTCTGTTTTACGAAACCATAACATCTAAAATCATATTGATTGTTGAGTTTCTGTAAGTAACAATTCATATTTTATTCTATCATTTTTCATTTAATAACTCACAGAACTTAATAGTAAACAACATTCATACTATGGTTTGACTGACTTTTTGCAACAATTAAATGATTTCTTTGCAATTGATAAGTTTGATCTAATTCTTATTTTAAATAATTATTTAACAAATTTGACAGATTTCTCAATTTGTACAAGGATACATGACTGAAAGTAATATAAGCTTAATCGTTCATTCAATAGGATTTTGATACATCGAGTCTAGTTTTGCATGAATAACAAAATTTTATATTGAGCCTTCAGATTCTCATTTCTGATGGGTTATTTATCCCGTAATTTTCCAACATTTAAACGATCGTTAAAGAGAAGATTGATATTTGATCAAAATAAAAAAGGGTTTGGTCCAGTAGATGTCTCATTCACTATTTACTGAGGTCCATCTAATCTGAGTCGATAAGGAGACTTAAATATAGTTACTCACGATTCATTTTCACCAAACGTCTAAGTTAGGTATGAATTATTATTATTTATGTAAGCCATCTTTTCAATTTATGAAAATGATAATACTTTGAATTTTGTGTCTTTTTTTTTTTGACATTTTACTAACCATTTTTAAAAGCTAATTATAAGATGTCATTAATCGAAAGACAACTGTGACATGTTTTTAACTAAAGAACAAACTTTCTTTGACTTTCAAATGCCACATAAAGACCATATTTGATAAGTGTGATATCTAATATATAACTGATCCGTGTGATAAAATATTATACCTATACTTAGAAATTTTTATCCAATATTCAAAACATGAAGATTGGAAAATGCATTTCGACGTTTCGAAGTGGAAAATTTTTTAGCTTAAGCTGAAATTAACTTCTTGTTTCTGATTAACTCGCCGTTCATATTTTTTCATTAATAAAAGTATGGAAATCGGTAAAAACGAAAAAAGTAGTTACCTTTAATGTTTGGAAAAATCAGTGAAAAAATCTTTGAAAAATGGACGGTTTTAAATTTTCAACTGATCTGAGTTGTGCTGGCACGGTTGTAGGTCTGAGTGTAAGTAGACTCCGAGATGAGCCACATCTACATCCATTATATCCATACCTTCATACTCACATTAGCTGACATTGGTGTCTCAGAAAAATCTTAGATCGCTGGTTGTATAGGCTTTTTAAAAGAAGAAGAATCAATTCGTAAGGAAGTTCCGCTGACTGATTATAAAAGTTTAAAACTATCTAGAAGTCCACAATAATTGATATGAAAGGTTTAGAGCAGCAATTTGTGCTAAAAAGTTCATATCTTAAGTTTCAAGACGACGACGTCATATGTTACTGTTAGATTGAATAACTACAGACACCGGAAGTGAACGTCAGAATTAGGAAGGAATGTTCATGTCACTGAGTAATGCGAGCCAGTGTTGAAGAAAACGTTGGGACTACTAAGTGATACGCGAGAATAATATGAATAATAGTGCTGCTAAATTGCAATGCCTGAAAATATGGTACAATGGTACTTGCACAAGACACTATTGATTAAAGGTTCGACTGGAAAGCTTGAAGATGCGTAGTAATTGTAGATAGTATCCAAATATTCTCGTCCAAACTCAAGTTTGTGAGAATATCAGAAGAACGCTTCAAGCACTAAAACTATGTTTTAAGCAAAAAAAACCTGAGCAAAAGTCTACTAGAAAACACAGTTCTGTTTCAATTAAATTTCACTCATACATAACTGATGTTTTCTGGTTGTGTATATTGGGCTCTTTTTTATTTTGTTCTTTTTGTCAAGGGTACTTCAAAAAATGAGCTGAAATGTTTTACATTATTTTGATGATACAGTTGCAGAGAAACTTTATTATTTGTAATGCTGATTTGGATGTGGGTGTAGATGTGCGGGTGGAGTATGATTTCTAGAATTGAACAACACCCACACCCTTTTTTCAGCTAAAGTATTATTTTCGATGGAAATTGAATATATAAATCTATATAAATATGTATAAAATATAACTTGCTGATAAATGGATGATGTTTTGTTTTCCATTGATGAGAACATAAATGGAGTAAAATTCGTAGAAAATAGTAGTTAATAATAACAATGAGAAAACCAAATAACATATAACACGAATAATCAAATAATCAGATATAAAGAAACATTAAAAAAAACATGTATCATTTTAAACATAGTTTTTGCATTAATTGATAAGTTTCATAGTAGGACACGAAATCATTATTTTAGAAAAGTAAAATTTCATTGATGAACTCTTTATCATAAATTCAGAAATACTCAAACATCAGCAGCAGTTTTGTTTTTCATTAAGTAAACACCAATCTAAAATTTTGTGTCTTAAGAATAAGTTAGATATAGAGAAGCTTTTTCTCTATTACGAAAAACGAAAACAAGTAATATATAGTTGAAAGAAAAAAGTGAGAAATTAGAGAACTAATTTGAATAGATATCATTCGAAAGATTAATTTAAGAGACTCAATAAATAGAAAACTGTTCCGTACACTAAGGACAGCAATAGCTGAAAGCAAACCAAGAAAAGTAGCGATAAAATCATGAATTATTGAAAAGAAAAAATTCAAATTGTGTTATGATGACATTGAAAAAACGATAAAATATCATACGGATTACTTTTATTCGAAATAATATTGATGAATTAAATTAATCCTAATCATTTTATTCCTTTTAGACAATACAAAAAAAGTTTCTTCATAAAATAACTATATGTACTTAGTAAATTCTTAAGACTTGAGATATGAAAACTTAAAGCAGCATTCAACTCATTATTGAGAATCTGAATCATAATCTTGAGTGAATCCAACACTTTTCAATTAAACTTCACATTAATTAGTTTCGTTCTGTTCTGATTTAGAAAATAAAATATAACTCAAAATAATTAATTGACATATATATAATAGAAGTAGTGACTCAAATTTTCTTTATAATATGTTATATAAGCATAAAGAACATAGATTATTCACTTTTTCTTTTATATTGCATTCTAATTCTGACTTCATCAATAAGTCGATAGAATATTTTGTATTTCATTTCTAAATAAATGCTCTTTTTTATCACTATTGTACAACCAAATATTGTTGCAATCAAATGATAAAAAAGGCAATAGGTACTAAATAGTAGTATTCATTGAGAAAGAAAAAGAATGAAAACCTTAAATATTCAGCGTTGATTCTTAGTGAATTTTTATGGATAAGACAATCAATTAAAAATACTTGTTTTTTAACGATTAGGTCTTTCAAACTAATCATCATGATTAACATGAATAACAATAATATCTGAAAAGTTCAGGCATTCAATAGAAATAGTTTCTATCTTTAACTATGACTATTGTTGCTTTGATCGTATACTTTTATTTTATTAAAATGAATAAAAATTATAATTTATAGATAATTTGTTTCGTATTCTCGAATTTCTTTTAGTATTAATTATTGAAAAAATCTCATAATGTTTTTGTATCATTTACAATTCTAAATCTAAAATGATACATTTGTTATCCACTGATGTAATTTAAAATATTAACTAACAAAAACTTAAGATTTCTATAGATTACGTATGATCCTAGAATATTTAAAGAACAACGAAAATCTTACTCATTTATTTTCGAAAATAATCATAAAATGATTTGAATTTGTTTATTTATCAGTTCTTTTGTAGTCACTTTATATAAAAAAATGGTACTTTGCAAAAAAAAAGACAAGTTTTATTCGATATATAAGTAGTCAACTTGTATTTATAGAATCTATTGATAAATTCAAATTCAAATTAACTAAAGAAAGAATGAATTGAAGTTAATTCGAGACAACTTAAGTTCTCCAATGATTATAACTCATTGTTAAAATTCAATTCTTGTAAAAGGTTTTATTTGAAAGGGTGTGGGTGTGGGTGTGTGGATGCGGGTGTGAAGGTATGGGGGTGTGGGGGGCGTGTAGCTGTGGCTGCGAGTGTTCTATTGACGAACAGAACAACACCCACACCCATCCACCCACACCCTATTAATTATTTAATTTTCATTTCAAAGGAAATTGTGGCTAATTGATAAAATCTTGTGTTTCTAGATACACCAGCATCTTGTATCATTAAATTCTTTATTCAGTCCATAGGTTACAACTTTTGTATCAAATTCTTCTTCGATCACCATGATCCAGTTCAATATTGGAGTGGGACTTTTAACACAAAATTCATCCAGACGTGAATCGGGATGACAAAAGTAGGTTGTATCGTGCATAGCCCACCAATCATTTTTTCCGCGATACAAATTTCTGTCTTCTGGGCCCAATTCAAGTACTCTACCCATGTCAATTTCAGCACATATATAAGCACCATGACGATTAGCTTTTCTTTCTGTTCCCTCCCTTGATCGAGCAAAATAGACACCATGACCTATCATCGTGCTTTCATATTTGGTGCTGATTAAAAAATCAGAGTGGGCAATCAGTATAGCTGAGCCCGGATCAGTTTGATGAAAACCGATATAACGATTTTTTCCGGGCGTTGTTTGTTGAATATCACGATAGCGTGCTTGTGGGTTGAAACCTTTGAAATGAAATATAAAAATGTGCTCCAAACGACGATTTTGACATTGAGAACCATCAGAACAAGGTTTATCACCAAAACGCATGGTGCGATTATCACCCAATAAATGGTAAGGAATATATCGTTTGTGTTTAGTTGATAGTGGCGTAGTCGGCATTTTAAAGTCTGCCTCGAGTCTTACAAAATGTGGTTTATAGTACCACCATACACGATAGTGATAGTAGTCCAATAGGGAAGTTAAAATTAGAAAAAAGAATGAGATAGCGACGATAACGGCAAGACTTTTTGTTGTTATGTTATGCCGCACGATCAAACAGAACGCTATCATTGTGATACGAATGCACGAAATAAATATGACAGATGCAAACTGTAATTGAAAACGTAGTTTAGGACGTGCACGATAGCATGGGCAGTTACAGTTAAAAGAAAAAAATCGATTTGTTGATTTTGCTTTAAACAATTTAAAAATTGCATCTCGATAACCCGGCATGCACAAGAGACAAGGACATAAACTGGGCATTAGCAATAGAACAAATAGAAAAATGAATAGGATCATTGTTCGAATTGCACCAACAAAAAATAGGGCAATAATGATAATTGTATTTGTAACACCGATTAATTTCGGTTGGTCATCGTCAGGATGATTGATTTTAAAAAATAACTCATGTTCAGTACTCAAGATGAGAATGAATAGTGTAAGAATTAGCACAGATTCAGCGACGGTGATAAAGACATGAAGATAGACAAGTGAACGATAAAAGCAAGAATGAAAACGCATCTTTTTGTGGTCGATGAGGTGTACAGTCTTTTATTGCGTCGATTTAAGGCAATATAAAGTTTGTATGTTGATGTGTGCTTTTAAACATAGGAGTTTTGCTTCGTGAATAGAAAGAGAATGAAAATCAATGGGCTATAAAAAGATAATTTTTTACTATCAAAATAACGAATAAAAAAGAAACTTGCTGTTTCTCAGGAGAGTATATTCTTTCTCAATAAATAACGACAATTTGTCGCAATGGCAAGTTGGAATTTTAGTCAAATTTCATCTCTTGTTTATATTGTTATTTTCTATTATCTTGACCTTAAAGGTGTGGGTGTGGCTGGTGATATAGTTCTTCCATCTGCTGATAATCACACCCACACGCATAGACCCACACCCACACCCACACCCACACCCACACCCACACCCACACCCCTATTNGAAAATTGATTTAAGGAGTGGAGAACAGTTTCTAAGGCTTTAAAATCGAAGTAGAACTCAAATTGGCAAATTACTATACAAGAAAAACAGCATTTTAATGAAGTTCATTTTTGACTGATCCCTGAGGGGTACCAGGGGTGAGTTTTTCGACGAAAAACAAAAGTTCGCAGAAAGATATGAAATTCACGTAGATCTACTTAGTTTTGAAGGCTGATTCAGAATATCATATTGGTTTTCATCCAAATGATACTTTTCTGATCAAAATTTACTCGATACTACACAGAAAAGCATAAAATCTTGTCTCGAGTACAGTATTCTTGAGATTTCTTTTGGTAGCCAATGTTTTTTTTCCAATTTAACGGCAGATTCAGATAGAGCTTGAAAAGTTACATTGAAATTCCATACTCTCATTTCTGTTCAAAACTGTTCACTGTACTAGAAGAGCACTTTAATAGGGTCCACTTCGTTTACCTTAGCCTAATTCTGAAGGTGTTTCGCAGTTACGAAGTGCTAATTGTTTCTAATTAGTTTTTATTCGTCGAGATTCTGATTACACTTAATAAATAACATATCCTAGAAACTGTTTCAGACATTTTACAGGTTAAACCATGCGATAGGATAGCCAAAAGTCAGATTTGGACCCAAAAATCAGAGTATAGGTTAAACTCGAAATTCAAGCCAGTATACATTCTGGAGATTTACCATGAGGATATTTGTAATCAGCATAGATGACTTGCTATTTGCAATAACTTTAAATAACTAAATTCTGAAAAAAAATTTTTTCGAATTCCCCTAGGGGGGTACGGGGGTGCCAAACCCGGAAGTAATTAGAAGCAAAATTACCCTGTGATATTTGTAGCCCATATGGACCTCGTAACTATCATATAGTTATTTCTTGAAAATATTTTGGGCCGAAAAGTGGCCTTACCGCCACTCCTCCTTTAATCCAAGAATGGCATCTTTAATCAATTTTTACGATTATTCTCCTGAATATCAAATTTTATCTCAATTTTTGATCGTTTTTTACATGGATTTCTACCTTCTATATTCTTTCAAACAAAATCTCATCCTTTTGCAGATGATCTCACATTACTACTAACGTTTTCACTTCAAAAAAAAGTATTCATTAGATATAATCGAATTAGAAAAAAGAGCTAAGCAAATATTGACACAATTAGAATCATTTTCAGTTAATAATATATAACCAGTAAATATCAACAACACAAAGGCATTTTTAGTATATAGCGTAATAGCTCCAACTAAACCAAAAATTGAATATACAGGTAAAATTAAAAAATAAGTAAGATTTAGAATGCAATGAAAATTTTATTTGAGAAAATACCGAGAAAAAATATTAACATTCGATGTAAAATATTTTTTGCCGTTGCTCTTCAGTTTTTATATGATTGTTTCCAATTTGATTTTACTTGTCTGAAAAACAAAAACAAGAAATAAATTCAGAATTTATCTCAGAACTAAGAATTATTTACGGACTATCCAAGCCTTGATTATAGATGACGCTAAATGTATATCTCACTTAAACTTTTCGTATTCTCTATCTAAAAATATTGACAATACAATTGTTTAGTCTCAAGATGTGTTCCCCTCTCTCTTTAACTCATTGTCTATACTTTTTATAGTTTTATACTGTAAAATTCTGACCAACCTAAACCTCTTCTCAATATAGCTAATGTAATGAATAGGGCATGTCTTTTTTCTTTTTTCTTTTTCTCTTGCTCTTCTGTTTCGCTTTTTTACGGCACAATAAAATTTCAATAGTAAAAAGAATGAAGCTTTTTACTTCGAATAAGATTTTCTATTGATCTGAATAAATGGAATCACTTGACCAACTTCTAATCAATATTGGTTTTCCATTCTAATTGATCAAATTTAGTTTTCTCCGATCGCTATCGGAAAATTTTTTTTTTTAAATAATAAAGTTTGACAATTTTCAATTTCACCTGATCATCAATTCTATCCTTGTTTTCAAATAAATAAAAATCAATCATGGCTAATAGATCGACTCACAATTGAATTGATCTTTCTCTTTCTCCTTAATCATTTCGTATCGATGAAAAAGCAAATTTTCTCGGAAATAGCATTTCATCTTTAACATTGCTCAAGAATCTTATCTATTTCAATATTTTGTTTATGTTTCGTATTCGTCAGATGAGAATTTGTACCGAATTAGTATAACAATGTAAAAGTGGCAATCAAATTCTTACTTCTTCAAAATTTCTGTCCAATATCAAGTGGAAGTTTCAATCTATCTGAGATTCAACTGATATTTTCTGCTACTTTAAAATGATGTGAACCTCGTTCGTTTTCGCACTCTTCGTTCGATCTCCCTTTGGAGCAAACCGTGCATGATGTTTATCTCTTCATATTATTACATTACAATAATAACAGAACATGCGTGTTAATATCGACATACGCTGATTATTTATCGATAGAACGTGACTGTGTCTACATCAAATCTTAACGCTGTTATCATTGTGTATTTCAACAAATTGAAGTGTGGCAACAAATCAGCATCATTTCGAATTTTTTCGATCGTCTCATATACATACTACCTTGTAAGTCATTGTAAATACTCACGATTGAATATCATTGTCAGCAAATATTTTGTTTAGGTCGGGCTGGACTACTGAAATCTATACTAAGTAAGAAATATTCTACACTATTCGATACAATTGATCTATTCGGTAGGATCAGTAGCACTTTTTACCAATGGATGATGACGAGAAAGCGAAACTTTGTTATTGCGAAAAAGAAAGCGTCGAAGTAGTAGGACAACCGAGTCTAGTATTCATACATGGATTCTCATCTAGTAAACAGGCATGGCTACATGTGATCAATGTTTGTCAATTACTAATCGCTTGATATAGATAAAAATCTTCGTTTATACTCAGCATATTCCAGATACGTATCACTGTATTGTCATTGATTTGCCTGGTCACGGCGAAAGTGTCGGTTTTAATGAAGAATACTATATTGCTGCAAACGTTATAGATCTACTTAAAAGCAGGTATTGAACGATCTTTATCAAGTCTATTTTCTGCTCTACGTCGTGCGTATGTTTTTACTTTTGGATTTATTAGTTTTTTGACACACTGAGTTTCATCGAATCCATATGTCTTATTTGCGGATCAATGGATGGCGCAATCGTTGCAATGTTTACCACGAAGTATCCATTCAATGTAGGCATGATTTGTTTACCTTCTCCTCCTCGTAAGTCTGAGTAAGTTCATTATTGAAATATATTGTTTCTCGATCTATGGTAGCCGGTGAAGAGTACGAAACTGATATGCTCCAACAATTACGTTCAGGTACGTATCATTCAATTTTACCTGAAACTCTTGAACAATTTCATGCTGCCATTGAATCATTATCAAAGAAAAAGGTTCGTTTAACTTGACTATTAGCTAAAAAAATACTTTAAAACACATTTGCGCACACTGGATCAACACAAAAGACGTAAATAAATCGATTATGATGTACACAGGAAATTTATTTCTAATTGATCTTTAGTCCTTCAAGTTGCCTTTGAACATGACTATCCAAGTCTTAGAGAAATCTATAAACAACTAAAACATCTGACATTCCCAGCACTCATCATTTGGGGTCGCGAAGATCAGGTATGAATCGCGTGATTTGCAAGGAAGTAAATATATTCGGTCGAGTCTGTCTCGAGATCGCTCAAATTGGACAGGACCAACATTTTATTCATACTGGAGTTTGGGTTAATTTTTTTCAATTATCTAGCATACAAAATAAAATGTCAAAATAAACATTTTTATGTGACACACGCTCATGAAGCAATTACCTTTTTTCAAAGCGAAACTTTTAGAACATCTTGTTTTAGTTATGCCATCCTGAATGTGCTCATTACTTGACGAAATTGCTATCCAAATCAGAATTGGTAATTTTCAATGACTGTGGTCATCTCATCACCCCCGACAAACCTAAAGAAACAGTCGATGCTATTGTCGATTCTCTGGAACGGCATCCTTACTATGAAAGCAAGTTGCAAAATGTCGAAGTGATATTGTAATATTTTATTTAATATGATCAATAAATTTTACATAAAAGATTTGCACAGAAAAGAACCAATAATTAGTCCTACACTGTAAAAAAAATATGTTATTCGTTTCCACTCTCAGAATCCTTTTCAAGGTATCGTATGAACCGTCGATACATTTTTAAAGTTTGTGTGTGATGATCATCATAGTGTTCATAATTTAATTATGTTTAAAATGAACTTTTTATGGAATATGTTTTGAAAGTCAGCACTCGATTTCTTGACTATGTGGCGGTGAAGGTGATGATGACATAAATCATCTTCTCTTCACTCTCACTAGCCCACCCGTACTCATTCTTTATTATTACTTTGTCTGCCGCTTACAAGTAAATGTTCTGTAAAATGGTTGACGTCCACTTTGCTTTTATATGATGCTACCACAAAACTTAGAAGAACTAGAGATAATTTATGATGCGATTTTTCTTTTTATACAGTTGGAACCTTTGTTAAAAAAAGGTTTTTGTTTTAATGTAAATTTCTCGACTATTTTTCGTATCGACCAATTTTTGTAGATCCCTCTACCTAACTACACTTCCAGTTCCTATTGAAAACATACTTCTACTTAGAAATAATCGAGACAATGAGACCAATGTAAATACAGACCATCTGTAATGTCTTCATTATGGGAAAGGTAATACAAAATGACGACTCCCATAGAATGAAGAATCAATATATGAGTTTCTTTTTCTTCGTGCCTCTTTTGATTGTTTTCATATTTTGAATGTTTACGTTGTTTTTAAATAAATTGCTTTCTTGTTCAACTGCATGACATTTCTCATCATGCTTATTTTCTTTCCTTTTCAAAATATTTGTTGATTGTTCATTTATCTGAAACAAAATTATAAAAGAAAAGAAACATTTGACAAGATTTATTAACGAGTTTATTTTTTATTTTTGAACTGCTTTTCCGTTGCTTTCATTTTAATTCCTTTATTTTTAACTTTTTCAATAAATCCTTCTGTAACTTGTTGTTTAGTTGAGTGCCAATGATAATAGAAATAAACTTGAATACGTGTTTGATTATAATTCAATAAAGGATGCCGCCGTTTAAGAAAATTTTCAATTTTAATGGCTGATTAATATGGATTTAGGAGAGAAACGACTCACCGATTTTTCTCTGTATTTATTTTTTCAAAATCATTTATAGTGCCTCAGAACAATTTCAAACAGTATTATTGAGCGTTGTCTGTACTTCGTCACAGTAAATGCCTTCGTAAGAAAAAAAGAAAGATGCATGAGAAGTCGTTTCAAATTGCATTTAATACAGCTTTTATATTCTCTACAAAACTCTATTATTTAAACTCTGATATCTCGTCTTATTGTAGTGTTAGAAGAGGACTACTGGTCGAGATCCTGCACCTATAAAATATCATCCATGTACAGATTAGTTCACAGAGCTCTAACAAAGGCATTCTTCAACGAGATATTTGTAGAAAAACATACTGATAATGAGAGCAATAGTATCACGAAAATATTTTGTGAAAATATTTGAGATGAAAAAATTGATAGATGGAAATACTATAAAAATGCGCACCTTGACACCTAAAATTCAATATCTTTCTCGATCCTTTTTCACTCAGGTTTCGTTCCTATTCAAAAGTAATCATATATTTAGAATCAGTAAACAAAACTACATTGAACTATATATGTTTTAAAAACTTTTATTTTTGCGAAAAATTCACCTCTGAAGAAGGACGAACACAATCTCAGAAAAATCAACCTGTCGGAGACCACAGGTATTTTTTTCGTTGGAGACATATTTCCATGAAATTCATATGGTTCAATGTTGTTTTTGACGCTGATTCCGAATATGCTTTTTATTTCACTTGACTATGGAGTTATGATGATAAAAACTCCTGAATATGACTCCGATTTTCATTTTTTTTCATCTAATTTTCCCACTGATCAAGAAAATATTTCAATTTGATTTTTCTGAAATTGTGTTCGTCCTTCTTCAGAGGCGAATTTTTCGTAAAAAAAAAGAAGTTTTTAAAATATACATGGTTCAATACAGTTTTGTTTACTGATTCTAAATATATGATTACTTTTTAATAGAAACGAAACCTGAGTGAAAAAGGATCGAGACAAACGTTGAATTTTAGGTGTCAGGGTGCGCATTTTTATAGTATTTCCGTCTACCAATTTTTTCATCCCAAATATTTTTGCAAAATGTTTTCGTGATACTATTGCTATCATCATCAGTATGTTTTTCTACAAATATCTCGTTGGAGAATGCCTTTGTTAGAGCTCCGTGAACTAATCTGTACATGAATGATATTTTATAGGTGCAGCATCTCGACCAGTATTCCTCTTCTAACACTACAATAAGACGAGATATCAGAGTTTAAATAATAGAGTTTTGTAGAGAATATAAAAGCTGTATTAAATGCAATTTGAAACGACTTCTCATGCATCTTTCTTTTTTTCTTACGAAGGCATTTACTGTGACGAAGTACAGACAACGCTCAATAATACTGTTTGAAATTGTTCTGAGGCACTATAAATGATTTTGAAAAAATAAATACAGAGAAAAATCGGTGAGTCGTTTCTCTCCTAAATCCATATTAATCAGCCATTAAAATTGAAAATTTTCTTAAACGGCGGCATCCTTTCATTCGATGCTACAACTCATCGTTCTTCACATTTTTAATACATAATAACCAATGAATTGTGAATCACCATCATAACGTGATTGTTTTCATATTAATTCACATTGACTAATATTCAATAATTTACAATTAAAATCTTTGATTTACTTAGCCTATTGAGTATTTTAACATTTTCATTCATAAGTGTTATTTCATAAATGTGAATTATTTCGACATTTATTATCAATTGACATTTGTATATGTTCATGCTCTAATTAATTTATTATTTAGTTTATTCCATTGAATAGTGGTTTCTGACTATTCATTATATATAAAATTCTCAATAGTTAACGATGTTTGAGTGAGTTGAAGATAATACCGACAGATCCACACTCAAGTCCTGTTTGAAAATTGTGAAGAATCAGTTATTAAATAATAAAATATCTTTTACTCTACCAATTATAGTAGCGATTGGAAATTCTTCTTCAATCATTCATTGAATTAGAATCTGTTTAAATAGTTGTCAAGATTTAAAATTAAAGAAAAGAAAAGATTATTTATTGCTGGACAATTAAAGCATGATCATGCAGACGTTCGAATAATTAATTCAAAATACCTTTAAAAGTTTTCTTGAGGATTGATGATGTGTAATAAATTTCACCAAGATTATTTGTAACGAGTAGGTCGTATATTTATCTGATGATAGAATATTATAATTATATGTAAGGTTATAATTATCAAAAATGATATGTTGGATGACTGCACCTAAAAAATTTTGCCGGAATATAATCAAGCTTCCCATCAAGACAAATAATATGTGTGACATCAGCTTAGAAAACTGAATCGATCTGTATATGTCACAAACTCTTACGACAAATTGTATCTTCGTACAGAAATTCAGCTATGGAATTGAATCAGTCAAAGCATCAGTTTGACTGTGAAAAATTATTTCTAAATTTTTAAAAATCTAGACAAAATTCAAAATGACATATGAATAAATGAGACTGACTTTATTCTTTGACGTGCTCCTGATAGGGATTATTGACTCCAAATAATTTATTTATCTCTATTGGAAATTCGGTTATTACCACCAAACTTCGTCAAATATTAGTCAAATAAGAGCAACTTTTGGCACTCAGGAACATTGTATGTTTGATTAAGTGTCTTCCTTACAAATTAACTTCAACTCAATAATATCGTTTTATAGAGTATTATGAAGCCTATCAAATGATATATAATTTGAAGTCAATCATTGTTGTCACAGCTTAGTATGGAATGAGTTTTGCCATATTCATCTATATCATTCGATAGAAAAAAAGCAAGCACTTTCATAGAAACATTGCATAACATAAATACTATCAAGTTTTGACTGAGGTTGCATGCAATTAGAAAAATGAGATGTAACTGTTTAATTTAAACGACAGTTGATCTCTAAAGAGCGGCGATTTCCTTGCTTAACGACAACCTGCCCCCCCCCCATTTGCCTTTTTAATAAAATAAAATTTCTTTGATATTTTTTTTTATTCGATTTAAGCTGTTTCTTCTGAATTTAAATACAGAGTTCGATAGAAGTTTTATTTTATGTTGATCGAATTGAACGACGACCAACACGAGGTAACATAATTATACGTTTAGCCAATTGACCGTTATCATAATCGAATAGATTTTTAAAATTATAAAAATCTTCCAATGGAATTTCATCATGCAATCGTCCATTGATAACAGCATAATTATTAATGAATGGATTAGCAACTTGACTTGAACCTTGTTCATCATCAACAAATGTGGGTCGAGTGTCACTTATTTGAATTAATGCACATAGAAGTATGAGGCCAATCATTACTATAAAAATAAAAAAAATAATATTTTAATTTATCTAAGATCATAATAAACTACATTTAAAATTGTAAAATGTTGTTGAAATCATAATTGATCAAATGAATCGATGCGTTGATAGGCAAGCGAAAGAAAAAGAACCAATGAATGTGTTGTATGTGGAAATGGATAAGAAATGAAATGAGATAATAATATTTGACAAGAATTACTTGTCATTGATGAATGTTTGCGATCACAACTGCTCCGTGACACACGCTCATTTGGCAGGTATGAAAAAAAAAGAGATGAATAGACTTGTAGATTTTTCTTTTCTGAGAAATAAGAAAAAAAAAAGAAGTATAAGAAAAAATATATTTCTTCTTTTGTTCAATTAGAGAAAAAAGAAATTCGCATATTTTCTATTAATAACTTAAATAATCAACTCCCCTTGCCCATACTCCCATCAAAAATATACAAGTCAATATTTGATTAATTTTTTTCCCTATAATTATGTAAATGTCAGGAGATGGAATAGTGTGACATGTACGGCCTAATTATTAGACTATTTTTATTTTGAGTTTGAAGAGTCAATAATGACACTAAAACATTTGTTTTAGACTGTTAAAAGAGAAAATTAAAAGAAAAGGGCCATTCAGTGATGAAGTCGGTCTTTCGTCGAGATCGAGTTTCTTATTTTCTAAATAGTTAATTAACATATTAAGAGTCAAATGTCGTCTGAATTAAACAGTTAGATCTTCTTCTGATTGTGCACACCTGACTCAAAACTTAATATTAATTATCCTTTATCAATTGCAATGTTCGTGAGAAGCACAAATATACCACTTTTTTTTCACTGGTATATTTAATTAATTGTAGTCAGAATAATTAGGTTCTCTATCGAAACAAATGATATATTTGAAACTAGTCTAGAAAACTAAATCGGTCTATATATGGTAAAAAATCTTTCTAACAACTTTTATTTTCGGTCAAAAATTAACTCAGTCCAAAGCTTAACTTGCCTGTAAAAGATAATTTTCAAATTTAAGAAAAAGTTAGAAAAATTCAAAATTGATAGATGATTAAATACTACAAAACGATATTTTGACTCAACTTATTTTTCGACGTTATTAGTTCTGAGAGAAACCAAAACTGCATTTTTGAGCGAAAATAAAGTTTTTGGAAAATTTTGTGACATATAGAGATTCGTTCAGTTTTCAATGCTGATTCCAAGTATGTCATCTGTTATCACAAGAAGTCTAATTATTCTGATGAAAACAAATTAAATATTAATTAAAAAAATCAATTTATTATTCTCATGAACATTGCTCACTTCACGAAGATGGCTTTCCCATAAATGATGTTCGTTGCAATAGCTCAATTTCGTATCATTCTCAACGTTACGGAGTAGTGTATAATTAACAAAAGATTAATGTTTTCCAAGCACAATAGCAAGGGAATTCTGCCAAGGCAACAGTATTTTGTCATACTTCTGTATAATATTTGATGAAAGAAAGAAAGAGCTTTCGTTTGATGGATAATTCAAAGTATATTAGATGAAGACGCGAAGAAAACTTTTCATAGATATTGTCAAGTTTTGACTCAGGTACGCACAATCAGAAAGAGCCCTAACTGTCTAATTCGAACGGCATTCGGTTCTTAAAATCTGAATTGATTGTTCGAAAAATAAGAAACTCAATTTCGAGAGCAATGGCGATTTCATCACTTAATGACTCCGCTACTTTGTATAACTGGATTAATAAATTCTTTTGTAAAGATATGTCAAAATAATGAAATAGATGAAAGCGATTAAGAATAAAAAAAAATTCTAACATTGTTTGCAAACTGTGAAATTTTAGAAACAATGACAATTTTGAACGTTGTCTTTAGAATATAAAGGATTCAAGATCTTCTCGAATACTAAAAAAAATGCTCGTTGAATTTCGATCTGTTGTCTTCTTTTCAAATCATCACTAAAATCTACTATTCTTATCGACAAATAATGAGAGATTCTTACGAGAAAATGTTCTCAACTCGTCTAGGCATTTTTCGCTGATATTTAGCGCACATATGAGTTTACAAGATATTCTAGTTAGAATACCTTCTCAACTTGAAAATAGCTTTTGATTTCGGGCTCTTATCTACAGTAGGATAAGCATAAAAGAATTGAATAAGGATATTTTGACCTGAACATTTGTTTACATATAGGTCTACAGATAACTAGAATATTTCCTTCACGAGATATTGAATAACTAAAAATCACTTATATTGCCACAAAAGCTTCAAGAATCTTATGTTTTTTTTCTTGAATTTAGTACCTCGCGAAAACAGAATTCTTTTGGCTGAATTTTATCGAAAAAAAAAAGCTGCTTATATAGATTCATAATTCAGCAATAGGGTTGTAATATTTGACTAGTAGAAGGTCATGGTCATGGTCAAGTATCTTTTTAATATTTTCTTAGCCTCATTCATTTCTAGTCCTACTCTTGGTATAGAGTTATTACTTATTAGAAGCTAGAGCGATTCTCATTTGATATCTCTGTTTTCATGAAAGAATGAATATACTCTAATGTATTGCAAGAAGCCGCATTAGTCTAAATCCTTTTAAGCTTTTCCATAGAACAAGTTCCTCTATATGCATGCAAAGTATCTGCGAAAATGGCACGGATTAGTAGTTGGAGCCCTAGAGAAAAACAAGTTATTTTCAATTTTTGAAATTTCCATATTTGATGAATATTATTCGATTTATCATGCAAAACTAATCAAGATGTAGCATGTATCAAGTTAAAAAAGACAGGAAAAAAAAAGGACGATAGCCATACAAAGCTTACGACACTCGGTATTCCCAGGCGGTCACCCATCCAAGTACTAACCGGGCCCGACGTTGCTTAACTTCAGTGATCGGACGAGAACTGGTGTATTCAACGTGATATGGCCGTAAGCGAATGTAGTCAGTCAAAAAACCGAATGTAACCATAAAACACATTCAATTATAATAATTACTGTATGATTTCCTAAGTGTGAAAATATCGATATGAATATCAATAAAACTTTCTTTCGTGAGAAGGGTAATGACTTATTCTAATACATATGACATTGTATTGTCGTCATTACTTTCCACTTCATTTAGTTTGTGTTTGAATTGGAATTTGTATTTGAATATAATTCAATACAATTCTATAATCTGTCGTTAATGATAACACAGAATACAAGGTGAAACTGCGCTTAAGCATCAATAAAGCTGATAATGCATCCATCGAACGTAAAACTTTGATAAAGTTTAAATAATATCAGATCAATTAAAATTACTGTTGACGAAATAATGCTCCCAGTGTTTTCTATTGATTTCTATGTTCAATAATTGATTTGGTAATAACCTAATTAATTATAATAAAATGTTGTACACACAACGAATTATATTTGATCAAGACTCATTTTCACTTATGAATTCATTCGAACAAAAATGAAAATTACAATTTTTTTTATTGAACTGATTGATTGCATAATCATTCATTTACTCACTAAATTTTTGTATTTATTTCTCTTACTATGTAATCACCTAATGTTGTACATCTACACCGTATTGAACTACATTAAGATAATTTAAACAAACAAGCAAAAAGAAAAGATTGATACCATTACGAAGAATTTCAGTTTTACAAAATCATCAATGAAAGACAGACAGGAAAAGGCATGTTCACAAATTTGTTTTTAAGGATAATAAAAGGAAAGTTCATACATCTGTTTGTGAAATGAGCAATAAGAAAGAAAGAAAAAAGAACAGGGATTTATACATATGACATATATATATATAAACAAAGAAGAAAAATATTTTTCATGTCAAGCTTTGATTTCATTTTAATTCACTGATTTGTTTGATCAGATAAGCTTTTTCGTCATTGAATTGTTCGTCATCTGTACCTATTAAAATAATTTTCATTGATCAACATATGAAACAAGAAACTTACGATCTGGGTGGAAACTAGTTAGAAAATTGATTAATTTTTCTCTATTACGAAGAAGTATATCAGTAATTGCTTTAGGTTTAGTTGGATTCGCAACAAATATCTATAAAATAAATGAATATTAATTCGAAAATTAAAAATAATTGATTTAACCTTGAAAACATGAAATGCTTCAAACTGAATATTTTTACTTTTTTCTTTTAATAAATTCATTTGTTGTTTGAGATTATCTGGATTTGTTATATATTTTGTCATTACTGAAAAATTATAGCGATCAAGTAATAATTCACCAAGTAACTAAAATGTACAATATCGAACATTGGAAACTATGAATTTAATCAGTAAAGAAATTTTTAGTCATACTTTTAAAGATTGTCGACGTGTAACATAATTTTCTGAATTGAGTAAATCACGATATTTAGTAAAAAACTGATCATAGTTTCGTTCGAGAAAATCTGCACATAAAGATTTATGTTTTGTTAATAAATCCTAAAAACATAACATTTTATATTGTATGGTTAGACTTTGTTTTCTAAATGATTAAGACGTAAAAGACTCGAAAGAGAATGTAGGCAATAGGAATTTACCGTTTCTGAAATAGAGGACAAGGCTCGCTATTAAATTCTAGAATTTTTCATATATTCTATAAATAATCTAGAGATGGCATCGATACTGGTTACCCTGAATCCTGATTTCAGACTTGTTCCATATCTGATACGACCCATAAGATTCAAACTGGACAAAGACATGATAGAGCGCCTTTTCGTCCCTTAAAATGTAAGAAATAAAAACAAAGAACTCTGTCATATCCTGCAATCCAAGATGTTCTTTCAAACAAACAAAAAATAACTAACTAGAATGAAGCCTCACACCCATAATTTCGGTTTGTTGAATACCTCTCGAAAACATCACGATATAGGACTGAAAATTTTATATAATTTTAATGTATCTGGCTCAAAATCAGGCTTTGAGACAGAAGCTTAGTATGCGAAATCAAATTTGATATAGAAGTTTCTGTCAGAATAAGAAACTATTCAAATGAATTGAATTGACTTTATTTCGATGACATGTATAATAAATTTCAATTGAATCCAATTTTCATAAGTAGGAACGAACTTTAGCATCGTACTTCCTTTGAGATTCGAGGGAAAACAGTATATTCAACTACAACAATTTGTACTATTGAACAAAGGTCTATGATCGAAATTTATTTTTTCGAACAAACAAAAACAAATTGTTGAATACGAACTTTGAAAGTAGCAAAAGCATCGCTAGCAATATCGAATGTTGACTTTTGCACATAATCAAAAAATTTATAAAATTCTAATGATCTTAAAATAATATCTGCTAATTCTTGAATACGTATACATTCACGTAACATCATTCCACAATGAAGTGCAATATCTGCATTCTCATATCTATAAATGATATATATATATATAGTCATAAAAGATAAAATATTTCTTTTCTTTAAATTACCCTTCAATTAATTTAAATAAGATTTCAGGTTTTTGAATAATATGATCAGCAGCTGGAAATGTTGTTCCAACTTGTCGTCGTAAAAGATTATTAAATATTGCAACTATTTCTTTTCGATCTTCAAATGAAACACGATCTAAATTATTTATCATTGTTATAATAAGATCTTGTAAATAAATTCCACTACATAATTGTGAAATATCAGTAATTGCTGATTCATTATTATTATCACGTGCACCAAATAGACCATCTTTTAAGGCGAGTAATGCTTTATGAATATTTTTCCTTGCCTAAAATGAAAAAAAAAAAATTCAATAATAAATAATAAACAATCTTATTTAAAAATTTTACTTCTTCGTAATTTTTCTTTTCTTTATCTTGTTCATTTTCAATTATAGAAAAGAATTCTTTTAATTGTTTAGCATGATCAGTTTTTGAACGAGATGACAATAACAAACTAAGCGGCATTTTAGACAAAATATCTACAAGATGAGAATGATCGAAAATAACACCTGTAAGTTTTTTTCTTTTCGAATAAGAACAAAAACTTGATTTAATCTAAAACAGATATTGAGAACAAGAACAAATTATTCAAATTAATTCTTCGTTATCAGCGATTGTGAGTTACAAGAAAAAAAGAAAAAAGAAAAATATCCTTCCCAAAAAACAAAACAAAACAAATACAACGCACGTCGCTTGCACATTCATCCATTCATTCTTTCCAAGTAAAAAAACTGAAGATTGGTAATTGTCTTTTTTCCAATCCAAATCAACAAGCATAAGAGGGCACCACCAGAAATTTTAATTATACAGAAAAACAAGACTTTACAAAGGATGAATTGATTTCATGACGAACTATTCTTTATTCATTGAGTATATGAGAGAAACAAATGGTAGAATGTTAATCAATGAAATCAAATAAAGTTTTACATTATACTATTTTTATTTATTGAAGAATGTCATACTAAAGAGATAGCATACAATTAACTATGTGCCACAATATATCAAATGTGTCTAATATATGATTGAAATAGAATCAACTTCATATTAATGTTGTTGAATATGAACATTGAAGAGAAACATGGTCCATTTTTTATATTTCGATTATATAACCTATGTGTAAAAAGTCTTAGTACAACATGTCTAGTCGATTTTCGTTAACTTGTATGTCACTGGAGAGAATCAAAAGTAATCAGCTATCGTTAGGATTTCATCTCTTTTCTGATTTATTTTTTCAGATGTACATTAAAAGATGTTAGTAAATAATATTTGCTATTTTTTCGGACATTTAGATGTCATTGACATGTATTAAAAGCACTTAGTTCCAACCAGAATTTTGAAGTCTTTTTAACTGAATTTTCAGAAATTTTTAATGACTTACGGTTGATTAGAAAAAAAGTTTTTTTTTCTGTCATTTGTAACCCATCTGGATGAGATTTTGATGATAGTTTTCCCTAATGATCGACTAACTTCAGAGTACTCTACTATCAGTATATCACAGAAACCTTTGGTTACTTTAGTACTTCAAGGTATATATTGGGCTGTCAGCACTTGACTAAAAAACGCTTCTAAATGTTTAACTTAATAACTTGTTAAAAACATTTTTATAGAATTCTATAGAAATTAGGTAGGTATCTGGGTGGGTACATGACAAGTGTCCATATACTGAGGCAATTCTCAGGAAGATAATAAAATACATTTTAAAACGATCCATTATATAGAAAAGTCGATAATATCACGAATACAGTAAGTTGGGTTGTACTCTCTGAATAACAAGTAAGAGAATTTTAATATTGTTTTTTGGTTAAGTCATTTTAGTGGGACTCGAAATTGTGCATACATTTATCTTCACTTCAGTGAAATAATCTGTAGTGAGGAGAAGCCAGATGAATTCAAGGCAAGAAATAAGTTCAAATAGATCTTAGCGACTTAATGATAAGTGATGAACTGAGTTTAAACAATTAATTGAAAGTTAAGAAGATCAACAGTCTTTACGAGACATATGTGCAAGACTGCAGGTCTTCGATGAAGACTGTCTCATTGTATTAAACTTAGAATCGTCAGCAATTATTAATACGATCAGATGTAAAATGGAAATCGCTTCCCTCCAAAAAAGCCGGGTGCGGATGTGAATATGAGGTATGTGGTGTGAGATTGTGAATGAGTGAACCAGAGTTGTAACCGGTCCGGTCATTCAGCTCCGGTTCAGTCGGACCGTATAGGATCGGACCAGGCCGAACAAGAAGTTAAATTAGGCAGGTCTAGGCCGGATTTCTGTCAGTTTATCATAGGAAAATTGTTGTTGAAACCTGAGAAATTTCTCTACTCCTTCTCTCTCCCCGGTAATTGAACTCGTAAGGGCTTGTATTAGGTTGCACTACCTTTTAAAAGTTTCGAGTACAAAAATTTTTCTAGAGACTTTAGGGATTTTCAAGGAAATTTTGAGACTTTCGTGCTAATAAATAAGAGTTAAGCAAATCTTTACCTTAAAATCTTGCAATTTTGACAGTTTTACTATGAAAGCACTAACAAAAATTTCCAAAAACTTTGACAAAGTTTTTAAAATGAGGGGGGCTTCTAATAAGTCGTGCACATCGATCTTCCAGAGGAGGACTTCTAATATTGGGGGGGGGGGGGGGTTATTGAAAAGGGCATTTTTATTGTATTCTCAAGTCGGAAGGGTGTGTAGAATGGTACTAGTAAGTCAAAATAGGAAGAAAGAAGACGCACGGTAGTAACATTAGTGCAAGTAAGGGCATATACAGCGTTTTGGTCTTAATGAGATCGCAGCATTTATTGAAGAAAGGTAATATAAAAGAAAGAAGACAGAATTTTGTGTAAATCAACACAGGTAACAAAGAAACATGAAATAATTTGAAATAAAAATCTTTTCCAAGTTTTCACTGACTAAACAGTTTTCACTATATTTTATTATGTCGATTATTCTGTGATCTTCATTGCATATTTTTGCGTGAAAATTTTAAATCAATATTTAATTATGTATATTCAAAATACATCTTATATGTTGAATACTTTTTTTCGTATCCGTTAAAATTCCCTTTCTCATCCAATATAGTTGTATTGACGACGAGATTAAATAATGCAGTTTAAATGAAAAGTACATTCTACTTTTTCCATTTACTCTGCCAATAGACAAAGATTGAATGAGAAGATAGACAAGTTACTCTTTTTTTTTCAAGTATAACTAGATATGTATATTATATAAAAAGATTCGATTAATTAGAACATTCCAAGGGAACGAACTGTGTTTTATATCAATTAATCATGATTGCGTCCTGGGTTAATCTCACTTTGACATAATCAAACTAACAATAATCAATTTTAACTTTGTTTTCATTATCCGAAAAAAACAATAGAAAAGCTAATTAAAGATAAACATTGATCTATTTTATTGAAATTATACAGAAATGAAATACAAAAACGATTGTGCACACAACTAATTTATAATATCAGTACATCAAATGTCAAATTTAGTTTGTAACTGGGAAAAAATGTTTTTTGAGCACTACAAAATAAGACAATTGAGCATCAAATCAAAAGAATAATATAAACAAGCCCGTAGGCAGGAATTTTTTAAGGGAGGAGCCCGAAAACAAATTTTTGACAATCGAAGAAAAAAGTAACAATATGAATATAGAGAGAAACGTAACGAAGAAAGAAAGAAGCTGTCACTTCCTAATAGGAACGAATAAAATAATAGTGGTACTTTAACTATGAATCGCCTTCATTCATAGTGATTTGTTTCACAAGGCTGTTCTTCTGAGCGCAGATCCCAGAAAGATTCAGTAATAAGTGTTACAGGAGAAAGCGCTAGGTGGGGACCCAGGCCCCCCGGGCTCCCCCTTGCCTACGGGCCTGAATATAAAAGTTATCAATCTATTCTTGAAATTGAACAAGTCAACGTGAAGATGTAATCTGAGAATAGCTATATCAAATTTATAGACTTTTTTCTTTCTTACCGTTTCTTTATTTAGTAACGAGTAAAGTAAAAGCGAATAATACAAATAGTAATACAATTTTATTTATTATTATTTTTATTTTTTGCTCTTTCAGAATACGTGATAATAAAAAAAAAGAACGAAGACTGAAAGCAATGAGAAAAAAGATAGAGAGGAAGAGAAGTGTTAATGACGCGAGGCCTTTCGAATTCTATCTTTGTCAAGTGACTAAATATGATAAATTAAAATAAAATCGTATTGCTATTTATTTTATTTATTTTTACTTTGTTTCTTATTGAAAAAAAGAAAAAAAAAACTATAAATTTTGACATAGCTATTCTCAAATTAGACCTTTATGTTGACTTGTTCATTTAAAGAATAACAGTCTTAATTAACTAATAAAACGTGTTCGGAACTTGTACATAAACGACGAGAAAAATGTAAGTAAAAAAAAAAGCTTGGTCTACATTATTATTATGAATTGTTTGCTCTTCATTATATTCATATTTATTTGTTTGTTCTTGTATTTATTATCTATCTGCTGTTGCAGCTTTTTTGTGAAGCTGCCACTATTATTCGGACTTCACCTAAAAGTAACTTTGGTGCTCAAATGTCTTATTTTTTAGTGCTCATTTCACATATAACTAATTAGGTGCTCAATTGTCTTATTTTGTGGTGTTCAAAACACACCTCGTTCTTGTAACTAAGCTGCAGCTCTTCGTGCCTTGTATCGTCGTCGTTCGCTTTCTTCATCACGGATTAGCTGACAAAAAAAAACATTCCTAGAACTGGACATGAAATTTGAATACCAATTAGATGTAAAACTATACTAACGTCCAAATCAAAATAAAACAAAAAATCGTTCCTATTCCATTTTTCGACGATTTCTTTGACTTCTGCACGCTGCGGACTATTGTTTATTGTATAATCTAGAGAAAACAATAGAATTTTGAACAGAATAAACATAAAACAAATTTACATTGATGTAAATATTCGATTTGCTCATTGGTTAGCTTTTCTTCTATTTTTGCAAGTTCTAAACAAATCAAAAACCGTCGCATGTGTGTTGCTAAAAAGAAAAATCTAACAAAATGCAATCATTATTTCTTGTCGTTGTTCAGATTTGGCCATCATGACTATAATCACTTGTCTGTCGTACAGGATTCGATTTTGTCCTTAATCCGACTAGAACTCAAAAACTATTGCTCAAAAGTGGTTGTTGAGTTTTACTTAATTTCTTGCGTTATTCTCTACAAATTCAATATTGAATATATCAAACATTCGTAACAGGCAATCACAATGACCAGTGATAGTAGAATGACGAAATCAGTATCATGTTTCAAGTCTTTTCTACTACTGGTACAACAAATCTTAATCAAAAGATTCATTAAATATAAATGAGATTTTCTTGCTTTGAGCAAAATCTCATTTTTGATAGATGAAATATCTCTCGTTTATCAGCAAGATAGGAAGTGACATTATCATTGATATTTCAAAATATCTACTATT